TGTTAATATGTTAAAAACAACCACAATTGGAAAAGCAAACTGTCTGATTGATTTTTGCCCCATCTTTACTATATAGAACTGCCTTTGACTTCAAAGAGTTATCTTAGCTCAGAACAGGGGACAAAGCAGGAACCTGCGCAATGATTCATGAGAGTAGATGGAAGTCAATGATTAGTTCATGTGCCTCTAGACTCCAGTAATGGCATAAATCTTTAGGGAAGTTCTTTAATGTCAGGCTGTATGCCTGCCTGTGTCAAATCACATATAGGCTAGCATATATTATGAATTGAGAAATCTGAGGAATGAACAAAAATTCCTTTTGTTGTTCATTTTTTAAAAGACGTCACACCAACTGAAGATACAGGAGGAAAGCATAATATTGTTCACCTTTAACCATACAAAGCTAAATCTGCTTATTTATAAATACTAAGACTGTTCACATATGGCTAAACATCTTATTGGAACAAAAAAAATATTAATTGACTGCAGGCTTAAACCTATCTGTGACTTCGCAAGTTCACAAACTAGTTTATTCCCAGGTTAAAAATTTTAAGGTGTGTTGAATGTTAACATAATGAGGAAGGCAATGAATATATAGCAAGCCTAGAAAAGAAAGCTTACACCGTGTCATTTAAATCAGTGGATTTTATAACAGCATCCTCTCCCTGGGATAATAAAACTTAACATGTATATGTGCTGTTTCCTTTGCATTATATGATGCAAGTTGAAGAATCTTCTCTTAGGGACTTAATGTCTACCAGTTGAGAAATCATTCCTTACTTCCTTCACCATTCTTTTTTTTTTTCTTCTTAATTTTAAATTCCAGTGTAGTTAACATAGTGTTATATTAGTTTCAGGTGTACAATATACTGATTCAACACTTCCATACATCACCCAGTGCTCATTGTGAAGAGTGCACTCCCTAATCCACATCGCCTGTATCACCCCCAACCCCTCCCCACCCCCACCCAGCTCCCTTATCATTCTCTACAGAAGTTAGCTGGAACACCAAACATACTAATGTGCTTAGCTAACCGCGACCAAACTGTCACCTAGACCACAAACAGGGAGGAAGGCCTTCAGTCAAAGATAGGGATTAACTATAACACAATAAAAATAAGACAAGGACACACAAATCTCTCTTTGATAAGGAATGAAGTCCCAATCTCTAACAGTGGGCCCCATTGTCAAAGATGCTGTTACCCGAGACAGAGGTAGAGCCCTCTGGGCTGGGTGAGCGTTCCTGCCCTTCTGTTCCTACCTGCCACCCAGTGCTCAGGAGGCTGCGGGTTACCTGCAGCCTCTCCGGTATGCTCTACTTTCTGATGTGGACCCTGGCAGGACAACCCTTATCAGGCCAGGATCTACCAACGGGAAAAGCCACCACCACTTTCTATTCCTTTGCTACTTAAACCAAAGCACTCCTAAGGAAATCAGAATTTCCACAAGACTCCCTTTCATATGAAGGAGGCTTTCAGAGTTTATTAAAAGTGTGTTATGTTTGCATCCATGGACGATAATTTGTGTTATATTTAGCATCTATAGCTTCAGAGTTATTTCTGTAAGGGAGAGTGGTAGGGAGAAACAATGCTCAAACTCGTCTGACAAAGCTAGCCAATGTAAATCAACTGAGGGAAAAATTCTGTACGAAGAAATTAAGGCAGCGCATGGTTTAAACAAACAAAGCCCTGTTTTTTAGGGGGGGAAAGCCACCTAAGTTGTAACGGTGCTGAGAAGCGGCTGCATGTTTCTCTCGGTGCAGTACCGGGCTCCTGGCTGTCAGAGGTGGCACGCCTACTGTCACGGTGCTGCCAGTCCCATTAAGGGATGAGAGACGGAGGAGTCACGGAGAGATTTTTTTCTTTTTAATTAGTAGACTATTCTTAGAATGGTTTTAGGGTTTACAGAAAATTGAGCCAATTAGACAAAGTTTCCATATATCTCCTCTCCAACTCACAATTTCCCCTATTATCTTGCATTAGTGGGGGACTTGTGTGCAGGTAATGAACCAGTATTGTATATTATTCTTTGTAAAAGCCCATAATTTATTTTAGGGCTCACTGCTTGTGTTATAGATTCTTTGGGTCTTGACAAATACGTAAGGTCTCGTGTTCATCATGTCCCAGAGAACAGCTTCACTGCCCTAACAACCTCCTGTGCCCCACCATCCCACCCTGACCCCATCAGTGAGTGTCCTGCCACTGAGTCACGGCTTTGCACGCGTGCACCTTCCACGGAGTTGATTTCTCTTCCCTCACAGGCAGCAGGGAACCCCTGGCCTACATTCTGCCCCCGACTCCTCTGCACCTGATCAGGTCTCTGATCAGCATCTTCCCTACTACTCTGTGCCTCCCCTCCATGCAGTGATGACACGGTTCGTATGGACAGCTGCGTGAGTCACATCTTGAACGCTGGCATAGAGGTTTACGACGGAGGCCAGAGACATTTCAAAGTCTCCTTTCTCGGTCCCCTTTTTGGTCTTAGGCATGCTACCCATATTACCAGCTACTCAGGCCGGGAGCAATTTGTAAATCCCTCCCCTTTAAAAGTCTACCCCTTGAGGCACTATTTCTTGATTCTTTTAGGATGTAACATGATGAGAAGGTGAGGGCCCCTGCACTTTCTTCCACCCCTCCGAACCTGTGCCTTCTGACAGTGACTGCTTTTACTCCAAAATGTTTCCAGAGCTGTAATAATAGTTTCTGCGCTTCGCTCTGAATTGATCTAAAACAACAACAGAGATCATTATTCAGGAAGAAGATTAGTTTTCATTTCTCTCCTAAGTTTTTTCCGTTGCCATGTCCCACTTATTCCTCTTACTTGAATTATTCTTCAGAATTATTAAAATATTTCCCTATTTTTTTCTTCAGAGGAGTCTAAGAATTTCTGTCTTCTATCACTTTGTATCTAAACAACATATTGTTCTTTTTATAAGATTTCAGTGTTGAGTCAGTTATGCTGGTTTGTTCGTGGCACATTATTATCTCTGGTCCAGGCAAGAATCCTCATTGTTGATCCATTTGCCTTTAATTTAATCTATTTCCCTTTAATTTCTCTACCACATTCCCATTCTCCTTATTCTTCCCATAGGGCAAACGTGTTTGTGTGTGTGTGTGTGTGTGTGTGTGTACATATACATATATATATATATATATACATATATATACACACACACATATATATACATATATATATTTAAATTTTTAACATCTTTTTAAATTTTGTTGTTAGAAAAAGTGTATTGATGTGTTTGTATTTATTTCAACTTACATAGATGGGTTCTGTAATTTTTTTTTAAAGATTTTATTTATTAGAGAACAAGTGATAGGGACGGACGGAGAGAGAGAGAGAGCACGCGCGTGCACAAGAGGGCGTGGGGGAGGGGCAGAGGGAAAGAGAGAGAGAGAGAGAGAGAGAGAGAGAGAGCAGACTCCCTGCTGAGCTGGAACCCTGATGCAGGACTCAATCCCAGGACCTGATCCCAGGACCCAGAGGTCATGACCTGAGCTGAAGGCAGATGCTTAACTGACTGAGCCACCCAGGCACCCCTATGGGTTCTGTAATTTATCCCAATTCTGTTTTGTGTGGCATTGTTTTCACAGGGCATTGTGTTTTCATTACACCCACTTTTCTCCGAGTGTGTCTAATCCATCGCTTGGTGTTTGTCTACCTGTGTTGTCCATCTTTTCTTCCAGTCATGGGCATCAAGTTCAGATATATTTTATGTATTCTTTAAATGGTCTTTGTATTTGAATATATTTAAGAACTCTTAATTGAATTTATGCCTTCTGATTGAGTGTTCAAATAGAAATGCATATTTATGAGTTGTATAGGTAGTAGAGATCTATATGAACTTGTGTTACATTTCAAGAACTGATAAGTAATTTAGAGAGCCGTTTTCCAAATAAAAGCAACCCATTGACTAAAGACAAAGCCTGCTCATACGCTGAGGTCTTCTATGGAACAGAGTAGGTTCCCAGAGCCCATAACAGAGTACAAAAGGCATACTCGGAATAAAATCCTGTAAAAGGTGGCATAAGTACCTTACTCTGGTAATGTGTCGCATATTAAGCTTTCAAATAATATTTCATTAAAATAAAGAACATCTTTATCCCCTCAGAGTTACATGAATTATGGAAAATATCTTTTCTGTGTCATTACTGAATAGATGTGTGCCTTGGCATTTTCCCCATAAGGACTTGAGGTATCTTTCTATAAAGACCATATATTCTGAGGATAATGAATAGAATAGAAAAGTAATGGAAAGTCATTACTTTGCAGAAGAAGAGGAAATTTCCAAGTATTTTATTTAAAAGCAAATGTTGTAGCCTTGATTAAACATTACATTTAATGTTAACCTGCTTATAAACTGAAAACTTGTTAATATAGTAAATTATATCATTTTTCATAATCCAGATGGGGGAAGCATACTCATTCCTCAAGGTAGATACTATTTCCCAGTAGAGGTTCTCACTGAGAACTGAGCATCCTCTAGAGTAGCCATGGACATAGGAAGCAGATTAACCATTAGCAGGACTGACATTGAATTCTGAAAGCTAGAAGTCCACTTACAAGATAAAGTAAAGAATTTACTTAGGGAGAAATGTTTTATTTACACTTAAGCAAGTGTTTGATTAAAACCCTACTATGTGGAATCGGTTTAGTCTTTAGAATGAGCAAGTATAGCTAGGAGTCCTGATTCTGCCCCCTGGTTATCTGTGTGGTCCTGGACATATTTAATCTCTGCAAACTGCAATTTTCTCATGTATGAAAGTAACAACTAACAATAAACTACCTTGTAAAATTGTGGCTAGGATTAAGTCAGGTGGAAGTTGCTGGGATTATTCAGGACATACTACTTAAATTTGTTATTAGGATTAAGTATGATAACCACGTGAAGTTCTGGGATGGTACCTGGTGCATAGGCCTGGATCTTAAGTGACATGGATGTCCTGTCCTTTCTCTTCCCTCTGCTGATTGTCATTCCTTCTCTACTTCAGGGAAAGCACAAAATGCATGTAGATACCGGAATGGAAGGTGATTGGTGCGGCCTTATTCCTGTTGGACAGTCTTGCAATCATGTTACGACAACAGGCCTAAAGTGGAACCTCAGTAAGTAAAACCCTTGCACAAAGGGAGATTTTCTTTCTTTTAAAAAAAAAAAAAAAAGTGTGTATGTGTGTGTATATATATATCTGCTGTTAGGTCAAAGGTAGTCTGTGTTTAACCTTTCTGTGAACTGCCAGGCTATCTTCCAAAGGAGCTGCACCATTTTGTATTCCTACCAGTGATGTGTGAGGCCTCCATTTTCTCCCACAGCCTCACCAGCTGTTACCGTCTTTTTGTTTTGACACATCTTAGTGGATATGCAGTGGTACATTGTGGTTTTATTTGCTCCCCCGACCAATGACTTATGATGTCAAACACCTTTTCATGTGCTTATGGGTCATTAGTATATTTTCTTTGGAGTGAGGTCTTCAGATTGTTTGCTCATATTTTAATTGCATTATTTCCCTTTTTAGTTTGAGTTGTAAGATTTCCGTATATATCCCAGATTCAAGTCCTTTATCAGAAACATGACTGGCAAATTAACTAAATTCATTAATTTAATTTTGATGAAGTCTGATTTTTTTTTCCCTCTCATGGATTGTACTTCTAGTGTTGAATCTAAGAATTCTTTGTCCAACCTTCTTCAAGATTTTGTATTCTTGAAACCTGCTTTACTTTTCTAGAGAAGCAGCTATTCTAACTAAATAGCAAGTTCTTTTCATAGTCAAATCTCTGAGATTTAGATTAGCTGCTTTTACTGTTTTAAAATGTTTCCCAGTGCTTACTAACTGTAATAGGTCCTAGTTATACTAAAACTGTCTGATTTGAAAGGAACAAAAACTGAGGTGGGTATTTTCATGAAATAAATGCTGATTCCACAATACACCATCAGGCTTGTGAAATAGGTCAGCTCTAGTCTCTTTAAGAATAATGATAATTTAGTCAAAGAGCTTTGGTTGAATGTCAAAGGGATTGTCTCCTGATTGACCACTTTCCTCTAACGTTATAAAAACCAAATTACGGAACCACGTCATTCTTTTACAACATGTAAAACTCTTAGGTTCCCACAAGGAAATAGATACTTCAAGAAGTAAGTAATTTGAAGATAAAAAGATATTTTAAAAGACTTTTCTATGAACCAGTCCTGAAACAATTAGGAAAAACTAGAGATATTTTGAGGCAAATGCCTGGAGAGCTCATCAGAATTTGAAAGGACGGTGAGACAGATCTGCTCTAGTGCACAGAAGTATGTGACAGGCTTTGAAGCTCTTTAGCTGGAACTGACATGAGCTCCTGTTAGAAACTTTTTTTGAAAACATTTCCAACCTAAAACAATTGTACTCTTTGGAGTTCCATTTGTTCCTGGGACCCAGTCTCGACACTGGTGACGTCCTTCTGGATGTGCCAGGGACCTCACTTTTCAGGACTGGCACCAAGATCGGAGGGGCACTGAGCAGGGAGGAGGGCTGCCAGTCTGGGCGTAGCCCTGCTTCCTTCCCCTGATGATGATGGGGAAGACTTGGAGTATTACCCAGGCTGCTTCCACGCTCGTTAGAACATCCTCTGATCCTCTGTATCCCACAGTAATACGCATGTCCTAATTCTATATAATAAAGTTGACCCTGGAAAGGGTCCTTTGGGCATGATGTGGTGTTTAATCTTACTGTCGGTGATAATGTTTCAATCCTACAGAAATGCTGCATACTATTATTAATATATTTACGGATTGCTTTGACTTTTGAAAAAAGTATTTTCCCCTACAATTTTATGTAAAATATGTAACTAGCAACTTAATAGAGTAGGCAAAGCCAGAGAATTGAGACCCAGTGTTTCATCGGTTTTCTGTAGTGAGAGCGCTACCTAAGGGGGTCTCGTGATAGGTAATATTGTGTCACTAAAAAGTAGTAGTAACAGCTGGGAAATGAAGCAGTGCCAACTTGAAAAGCAGTGTCTAGATTTCTTCCACTGAGAGGGCGCGGTCCCCGCTTCACTCGCTGTCATTGTGAAAGCAGAGCCCTGAGGTCAATGTCAGCTTGTCAGTCACACCTGTGAAGTGACAGGTTGGCCCGGGAAGGAGGAGGGAGGTGCAGTAGCTCAGCCAGGTGCTGATCACTTCTTAGGTCAAGGAGAATATGCAAGTGCTCCTAGGGAAACATAACAAAATCTCCCTCAGGGACAGGAGGGTGATCTGGCTGCCATGTCTGTCACCCCACTGATCGCCAGTGTTGATTCAGCTGATGTGGCTGACTAGTCAAGTGCCCCCTTCCACCCTCACTGCGGCTCCTTGTGCATCCCTCCCGAAGCTGCGTGCCTGGCCATAGTGGATGACCTTCCCCGACAGAGGACCGTTTTCAGTCAGGATATAGGAGCTGCGCTTCCCGCTAGGACCTCCAGACGCTCAAGGTCCCTTTGCAGGAGAACGAGCGTCTCCTAGTGAGGTGCTGCACGTGCCTTTCTTTAAAAAACAAAAAACAAAAAGCAAAAACCCAAATCTCCCTCGGGGGGTCTGGAGTGGAGGCTGGCTGTCCCCCAGTCTTTACGCCCTCCAAAACGTGATGCCGCAAGTTCGAAAACAAACCCGATTTACCTGTTTCAATTTCCAGTATCTCTCATCATGTTCTGTCTTTAAAATAACGGTGAAAAGGTGCCTCTGTACCCGTCACGCAGAAGTGAAACTCGACAGCTGGTGTTCAAGCTACTGATTCCACCATAGTTTAGTTCCCAGCAGTACACTGTGAACATTCTGTGTCGTTGGTCTGGTACTGGCACTTCCCTAGGCTCTGTTCCCTTGGGACGAGAACAGCTGCATTATAGGGAGAAGCGTCTTCACCTTTCCTGGGTATGCCACATTGCTCTGACAGCGGGTACGCCATTGTCCACTCACCCAGGAGAATACAAGAGCTCCCATGCTCTTTGTCCTCTCACAGTTCTTGGTATTGTCAGGTTTCATCAGATTTTTGCTGATCTGATACATGTCTGTGATAGTCCATCACTATCTCCGGTGGGACTGAGGGAAGGCATCTTTTTGTAGTGACCAGCCACGCGGCACTGGTTTCTTCTTCTGTGCATCACTTTCTTTTGCCCATTTAGCCATTGGGTTATTTGGTTTTTTCTTATTATTAGAGGTTCTTCAGACCCTAATTATCTACTTCCTGGCTATACTTTGCCTTTTCCAGTTGTTTATGGCATTTTTGTATGCACTGAGGTTAGGAAGTTAAAGGAAGTCAAATGTATCCATCTTTTTCTTGGGGATTTGTAGTTTTTGTCTTAAGTCATCTTTCTATTCTCCACAGTCATAGAGACGTTCTCACAATATAGTTCTAGTCTTATTTTTAGGTCTTTTCTTGCACCTGAAATTGATTTTTGGGTATGATACGGGCTACAGATCTGATTTTTTTCATTACTGATTATGAGTTGCCCTCGCACCATTTATCTTACTTTCTCCAACCGAAAGTTTTCATGTGCAGGGGGAGAACTTGAATTTCTAGTGTCTTCTCTTGGCTTACACACTTCTTTTTATGCTGATCCCACACTGCCCTGAGTAGCTTTATAATAAATCCTGAAATATGGCTAATGGAGTCTCTCAACTTTCTTCTTCCAGAGTTTTATGGTTATTCTTCGCTTTTTGATCTTCACAAATGTTGTGAACTTGACAAGTGTCATGCACACAATTCTATTGTGAGTTTTATTGGAATTATTTCTCATTTATAGATAAACTGGGAGAATACAACAATTGAGGAAGTAAATTCCTGTATGTGATTGAGTCTTCCCTAAACATAGTATCTGTCTCCATTTACTTAGAACTTTTTAACGGCTTTCAATAATGTAAAACTTTTGTCCAAAAGATCCTATACATCTTATATAAGATTTATTTCTAGGAACCCTATATTTTGTGTTGATGCTGTAAATTATACCTTTTAAAAACTTCAATTAAAAAAAAAAACTTCCAATTCTCTGAGCTCCTTGGAGATATATAGACAGACATCAAATTGGTTTAAGTATATTACATCAATATATTGCTGAATGCTCTCACTGTTTCTGGGGGCGGGAGCAGAGGAAGAGGGAGAGAGAATCTTAAGCAGGCTCCACACCCAGTGTGGAGCCCCATGTGGGGCTCAATCTCATGAGCCTGAGATTGTGACAGCTGAAACCAAGAGCCAGACACTTAACTGGCTAACCCACCCAGGTATCCCTCTTTTATTGTTCCTAAAAAATGTGAGTGTAGATTCACTTGGGTTTTCTCAGAAAGTCATATATTTGGTGGTAATTAAGTTTTCTTTCTTCTTCAGTCATAACAAATAGGAATGTGTTTGGTTATGACTAACTGAAACGGGAGCTTCAAAAAAAGCTTTAATTTCTCTTTAAAACAAAAAAAGGGGGAGGCACCTGGGTAGCTCAGTGGGTTAAAGCCTCTGCCTTCGGCTCAGGTCATAATCCCAGCGTCCTGGGATCGAGCCCCGCATCGGGCTCTCTGCCCAGTGGGGAGCCTGCTTCCTCCTCTCTCTCTGCCTGCCTCTCTGCCTCCTTGTGATCTCTGTCTGTCAAATAAATAAAATCTTTTAAAAAATGGAAAAAGCTTTAATTTCTTTTTCCCTCATGTAACAAAGTACAGAGGTGAGTAGTTACAGGGCGTGGCTTCTGTGGGCCTCTGAGCCTTTGCCTCAAACTCTTAAGATGTTGCAGCTCAGGTAAGTCAGGTCCCCATTCAGCGTCAGAAGAAAGGAAGGTTAAGAGAAGACAGGGTAGCACACATAACAGGAAAGTAAGCCTTTAGGGATCCTACCATTTCCAGAAATCCTTTCTGCATCCAGTCTTTTGCCTCAGGGGCCAGAACTACCAAGCAGCCATCCTCGATGCGAAAGAGGCTAGGTATGCGCAGTTTGTGTCTGAAGACGGGGCGGCCCAGGTGAAACCGAGGTTCTGTCAGAGAAGATAAGAATGAGTAGGACTCTGCACTTTTATCAGGAAATGTCTTTTCTTTGTCCACCATCTTGATGAGCAGTTTAGCTACACATAGATAATAAAATCTTATTTTCATTCTCTTTTGGCCATACTCTTGGGGG